GCCCGGAGACGGGAGGAGGAAGCCGCCGGCCCGCCCCTGGGATCGCGCTCTCGCCACCACTGAGGGGATTGAATTGAGGCGCCTCGGCTGCGGGAGGCGAAAAAGGAGGAGCAGCAGCTGCCGCGCAAGTGAGACGGGGGCAGAGCAGGAGACCGACACAGAGAAGGAAAGGGAGAGGAGGATGTCTCACAGAACGAGCGCCCGGATCAGCCCGTGACTCGGCGGCGGGCCTCAGACCCCAGCGCGGACTCGGACTTTGTCTTTGGGGTCCCGTGCTCTGCCCTTCCTGGTTTCCAGCAAGTTCGCAGAGGAGCCGCAGTGCCTCTCTGCCCCCCAGCCTTCCTCACCATGTCCAAGATGCCGGCCAAGAAGAAGAGCTGCTTCCAGATCACCAGTGTCACCACGGCCCAGGTGGCCACCAGCATCACCGAGGACACCGAGAGCCTGGACGACCCGGACGAGTCACGCACTGAGGACGTCTCCTCTGAGATATTTGACGTGTCTCGGGCCACGGATTATGGCCCTGAGGAGGTCTGCGAGCGTAGCTCCTCCGAAGAGACTCTCAACAATGTTGGGGATGCGGAGACTCCCGGGACGGTCTCCCCAAACCTCCTTCTGGACGGGCAGCTAGCGGCCGCGGCTACTGCTCCCGCCAACGGAGGAGGAGCCGTTTCGGCCCGGAGCGTGATTGGGGCGCTGGCCAATACTCTGGCGACAGCTGCCACCCCAGCCCACTCCTCGGGGGCACCCGGCGCCCCCCCGGCCGCGGGCTCATCTGCGGGGCCAGCTCCATCGCAGCCCCCCACCACTTGTAGTTCCCGTTTTCGCGTGATCAAGCTGGACCACGGCAGCGGGGAGCCCTATAGACGCGGTCGATGGACGTGTATGGAATACTATGAGCGGGATTCGGACAGCAGCGTCCTGACCAGGTCCGGGGATTGCATTAGGCACAGCAGTACTTTTGACCAGACTGCGGAACGAGACAGCGGCCTGGGCGCCACCGGAGGGTCGGTGGTAGTGGTGGTGGCCTCCATGCAGGGGGCACACGGGCCCGACTCGGGAACTGACAGTTCCCTGACTGCTGTGTCACAGCTACCCCCGTCGGAGAAAATGAGCCTGCCCGCTCCGGCCCCGCCACTGAGTTTTGGCGTTGGGCAGCTCCAGCCGCCGCCGCCCGTAGGTGGGGCTGTGGCTCCAAGCTTGGCTCCGAAGCCGTCGTTCCCGGGAGCCGCAGCCGGGCCGCAGCAAGTGACGGCAGTTCCGCAGCCCATCCAGCCCCAGGGAACCGGGCCAGGCGTCGTCCCTCCGGGGCCCAATGGACAGGGTCTTCCGCTAGCGA